GACGTAGTTTGTGTCGAAGAAAATCTTCATGGTGAATATCCACGCTTGAACGGTAGGACCACCCCGTTGACTCGGGTCAAAACAAGGAGGACGCTGCAGCTTGAGCACCATCGGCGATGGCAGTGTTGACTCGCCGGTCAGCACCGAAATCGTGACACGAGGTTGGCTTCTGGCCGTATTCGTCGCTCCGGGGTGTGACGCTCCAGGGTGTGCCGCATCGTGGTCCTCGTCTCCGTCGTTGCGGGCGACGCCATCACTAGCCACCCTCGAGGGTTTCCCTATGCTTCCGTGTTGTGATGCATGTTGTGCGGGTTGTCCCGGTATGCCTGGTGCTTGCGATTCCGCTTGTTGTGCTCGTGCGATGTCATTTTGCAGGGATGTACATTCTTCCGTGAGCGCCGCAATTTCTTCAGAGCTTTCTAGCAGCTACTGCAGCAGTTCGTTCAAACGCTCATGCGTGGGTGTCGTGACGTTGATATGGTCGGCCACTGCGAAGGGCGTCAGCTCAGCCTAGTCTAGGCGCAGTCGTGGCTGCATGCGTATACGAGAGAATACGAGGATAGCGGCTCCTAGGTGCTAAGGGGCATGAGTCCCTTCGAGCAAAAATCATAAGTTGATTTCTTAGGTGCGTAGATGCGCGGTTCGAAAGGAAAGTGGCTTTGATAACCAAGTGTTACGGATGCAATGGAACGAGGTACCGAGGATTGCACTGTGTGAGTCAAAAGTACAAAGTATGAGCGAAGGCATGAGCAAATACTTATATGCAAAAACATGCGACAATTACACGGTGCGTGCAAAGTAGCTAGTGATAGGCTGGCATCGAGGTTCGGGCTAGCCCCGAAGTGTAGGCTGACTCGACCGGGCCAGCGGTGTATGGTTTGGTGAAACAGTGTGCGCGAAGTTGGCGAAGCCCCGTTAGCAGTAACGGGCGAACAACGGCTGTTGTTGTACGCGATGTTGTTGGTCGCGGTAAGGAATGTTAAGAAAATTCCTTACACTTATCAAGTAAAAGTAGAGACAGATGATATCTTTGGATTACCTTGTTTGTAATAAGTTGAAAAAGAAATAATATTTCAAAGTTACTTTTACAATGGGTTTACATAGCAATCCTAGCTAGCCATGTACTCCAAGAAGTTCATTCTCGTATTAACTGTTTTGCATTGCTACAGTTAACGCGACTATTGCCATCTTCGACAGTTCCCATGTTGCAGTGTGTAACCGACGATTACAGCTCCTGAATTGTCAATAGTCGCGACTGTTGACTTCTTGCGACTATTGACCTTCGGGTGCTCTGTACGGGTTAACCCGGTACTAGTATAAAAGCGATGCTTCGCTATAAAAAGACGTGCTTTAGGAGAACCATCGGGAATGTTAACAAAACATGTCAGTTATTCCAACACCCCCATTCATTCCTGAAGGTGAGCCATGTGGGATTTCCTCAAGATCCCGCAGAGGTTGGCGCAGTGCTGAAACCTTAGACGTGGAAGCTTCTTCATAAATAAATCCGCAGCCATGTCACCAGTCGGGAAATTGTTGATTTTGACTTGCCCTTCGTCGTACTTCTGCTGACGTCGCTGGAGCTGGGAGTGGTGCTGGTCCCGTAGGTGCTCGTCCTAGAGGTACTGGAGCTACTGGGGCTGGAGGTGCTGAGCTTGAGGGTGCTACTGCTGGAGACCCTGGGTCTGGGGGTGCTACTGCTGGAGACACTGAGGCTAGAGACCCTTGGACTGGAGGTGCCGGTTCTAGGGGTGCTGCTGCTGGTGGCGCTGGTCCTGGAGGAGCTGGAGCTGAGGTTTCTGGAGCTGCTGGAGATGCTGGAGCTGCAAGGGGTGCTGGAGCTGCTGGTGCTGGTGGCACTACACAGCCCCGCCTGTTCTTTGCTCCACCGTCTCCATCGTCTCAGCCACCGTCTGACTTTGTGCTTCGCCAGGTTCTTAGTCTTCCTTCGTCTACTGGTCTTCCGTTACAGCCTGGCTCACCGCTGCCTGCTCCATCTCCTAACACTGAGCAGACAGAGGGTTCAACTGAGCGTCGTGAGCTTGCGTCGCGTCCTGTCTCGCCTGTCCGTTTTGGTAGTTCCGGTCGTTGTGTTCCTCGTTCGCGTCAGCCGGCTGTCCCCGGCAACCACCTTGTAGTTCGTCATCCTTCCTCTCCTCCGCAGCGTGTTCCCCTGCCGTCCCCTCTTGCGTCTTCTCAGCCTACCGTACTTGAGCCTGAGTCTAACCGCACCCGTGCTGCGCACCCTACTGTCACGCGTCTACAAGCCACAGTTGTCACTGACCCGTCGTTTGAGTTTGCTGCTACGTCTACCTTTGTTGCTGAGCTTGTTGACTTTGTTGCTCGCTGTCGTCTAGACTACGCCGCTAGTATTGTTGCTGAGTCTGAGTCTGTCTGTCCTCCGTCCGTCGCGGGTGAGTGTGCTCTTGCCGCGGACGTCCTTGAGGACAGGCAGGAGGACCTTGAGTGTCTTGCAGACGCTGCGTCTCATCTCGTGTCCATGCTGCTTGCCCTTGAGGGAGACCCGGATGCTCCAGACATCCCGACCCCGCGCTCTTACGCTGAGGCGATCGCGGGTGAGTACTCCTCTTAGTGGCAAACAGCCATGGACGTAGAGATGGCATCCTGGAAGTCCACGGGCACCTACGGCAACGAGGTTCTTCCTCCTGGGGCGAACATCGTTAGTGTCATGTGGATTTTTAGGGTGAAGCAGCCACCAGGTTCTCTGCCCGTCTTTAAGGCTCGTTACGTTGCTCGAGGTTTCAGTCAGCGAGAGGGAGTTGAATTCTTCCAGACCTTCTCCCCCACCCCGAAGATGGCCACTCTTCAGGTGCTGCTGCACGTTGCCACTCAGCATGACTATGAGCTTCACTCTCTTGACTTCAGCACAACTTTCTTACAGGGCAGCCTGCATGAGGAGATCTGGCTGCGCCGCCCTTCTGGTACCCAGTGGAGCCTCCAGCGGCCAGTCTACGGTCTCTGCCAGGCGCCACGTGAGTGGTACGACACACTGAGGATGACACTTGCGACTCTTGGGTTCGCGCCTTCTTCTGCTGACCCGTCGCTGTTTCTACGCCCCGACACTTCGCTCCCGCCGTTCTACATCATCGTGTACGTTGACGACTTGGTCTTTGCCACTGCCGACACTGAGGCTCTCGCCCTGGTGAAGTCAGAGCTGCAGAAGAGACACATGTGCACAGACCTGGGTGAGCTGCGCAGCTACCTTGGGTTGCAGATCACCCGGGACAGAGCATGCCGCACCATCACACTGACTCAGTCACACATGGTGCAGCAGGTCCTTCAGCGCTTCGGCTTTACCTAGTCCTCACCACAGCACACTCCTCTGGCTACAGGCCACTCACTCTCAGCTCCACCTTTGGACGAGTCCGTATAGTCGAGTGGTCCTTACCCAGAGCTAGTGGGCTGCCTCATGTACCTGATGACCTGCACTCGTCCTGACCTTGCGTACCCTCTTGGCCTTCTGGCTTGTTACGTGGCTCCTGGTAGGCAGCGACCAGAGAACATGGCTGTTGCTTAGAGGGTACTGCGCTACTTGTGCAGTACATCGGGCATGGGGCTCGTGCTTGGAGGGCGGAGCCCAGTTGTCCTCACTGGGCACTTGGACGCTTCTTGGGTTGACGACCTGGCTACGCAGCGGTCGTCACCGGGTTACACCTTCAGCCCTAGCTCTGGCTCTGTTTCTTGGCGGTCTACATGCTCGTTTTCTGTTCTCGGCTCCAGTTGTGAGGCTGAGATCTGTGCCACAGCCATGGCTGCACAGGAGTTACGCTGGCTCACCTACCTGCTGACCGACCTGGGAGAGCGACCTCGTTCTCCTCCAGTGCTTTACGTAGACAACAAGGCCGCCATTGCGTTGTGTCAGGAGCACAGACTGGAGCACAGAACGAAGCACATCGCTCTGCGTTACTTCCTGGCTCGAGAGTTGCAGCAGTGAGGTCAGGTTCGTCTTGGTCACTTGGCCACGCGGGCCAATAGTGCTGATATATTCACCAAAGCACTTCCGTCTGGTGATCATCAGTGTTTCTGCACTTTGTTAGGCCTTGTGCCCACTTTTCCTCACTTGCTGTAGATTTTGTTTGTACTGTGATCTATATACCTACTTGCTTGCTCTGCTAGGTAGAGATAACTGTACTGTTGTTGTTGCATATATACATGTGCATGTGAACTGGCCTTGTGGCCCTTTGCTTGTGCTCAGTGTGTGTGATGACTTAGTGATCCACCCTGAGCTTGCTTTGCTTCTCTTGACTGGTCTTGTGACACCTTGCTCTCCCCCACTTTGCCTCTGGGGGTGTGTCAAATGATGTATCTTCTATATATGTTTAGGCTGTAGTAGGGTAGCCAATATGGGGTACAGCCCCTTTTAGGGTTTCATATTGGTACCCATCTCTTTCATAGTTCACCCATTTTCCTGCTGCTAGATTCTAACAGCCCGGGGCGCGCGACTGAAAGAACAGCAGCGAAAGCGAACGGTGGGCCCATTGAGGAGATTAAACAGTACCAACAGGCCAGGATCTTACGTGCTATGATAGCATGTCAAAATATGTTCATAATTTAGGACAAAGAACCTAGGGTTTAGGCTAGCAAGAGAGTGTCAAGAGAGATGCCAAAGCTGAAGAGGGCTTCACTATAGAACTGCAAGTATAATTAGATGAGAAACATGCAAGGAGCGGTGCACCACCAAACAGGACAGCTATCTAACTACACTACTGCTAGAACTACATGCACTTATCAATGTTTTGTTCCCAGGAAGGCTGATTATCAACGTCCCTAAAATTGAATCTGGGGGGCTGGTAAGAATGCACCTTTCACGGACCACGTGCATTTCAGAAGCTCCAGAAGGGCTATCATTAGGCGCATACATAACTTCACACATTGCACATAGAGGGCAATCGGCACGCATGGCAGGGGCTGTAATGAGGGCGAGCACAGACAGACGGCAACAAGGCAAGTGGGCGGCAGGGGCCGTGAGCAAGTGGGGTCCTCTAGAGCGGGTACAGGACGAGGTGGCCGAAGTGAGCAGCGCCGGGCGAGGAGCCGCGGAAGAGGTGTGGGCGATGCCCCGTGGAACTCTCAAAGCGCCGACATACGTCGTCCACCGCTGCCTGCGCCGCTGCCGTGCTGTCCCCCAGCACACACACCGTGCCGCCACTGCCTCCCCCCGTTATCTTGGCGCCCCACAGTGGTCCCTGTGGCCATGGTGCACCGCGGGGAGATGGCACAGGGAGGGTCAGGTATTGGGAGGAATGCATTGGGAGAAAAGCCACCATGTGAAAAATCAGGTGGGGCTTCCTAGAAACAGCTGCTTTACTCTGTAATTTGTAATCAACCCATGGGCACGACTCACATGCGGGCCCATGTGTGTGCGAGCGAGGGCGACTATGAGGTCCGTGGCAGGCGACCCCAGCCCACACGCCGTGTAGCTCGCATGGCTCTGCCATGGCAGGGGTGCATCACACACACTCCCCATGGCGTCAAAGGGGACAGAGGGACGCGTGGAGGGAGCAAGGCGGAAAACTGCCATGAGCAGGGACTTGATGGGAGGGGGCAGAAGGGATGCTGGCATGATACATGAGGGTGAGGGAAGCGTGGTGATTCTAGAGAGTGTGGCATGTGGGGGGGGGAGCATGGAGTGACAACAGAGATTGGTGCAGAGATTGGTGCAGCTATGGGCAGCGTACCTGCATCATCAGCTCCCCCAGCAACGCCATCTGCTCAAGCCTCCCTCCGCCTGACACAGCGCCCCCACCCTCATCCGCCCCCTCATCCCCTTCGCCCTCGACACCTTTCCCCTGAACCTCTTTCCCCCCCTCCTCGTGCTCCACGTGTGTGAGCAGCAGGGAGCGGAAGCAGCGCGTGCGGAAGTGTTCCATGACGGGGTGGCGAGAGGCGGGCCGCACAGGGTAGTGCAGATCAGCAGCCACCGTGGTGGCGGGGTCGCCGTGGGACGCGTGGCGGGCGAGGAAGGCGCTGCCGTGCATGGTGGCGGGCAGTATGGGCTCCAGTAGGGGCAGGCTGGCATGGCCAGGTGAGTTGGGATGTGGGTTGGGGTGACAGGGAGAAAGGGAGGGGGGTGAGAAGGAGGGGGGAAAGAGTGTAGGCGGAGGAGGAGGGGAAGGCGGCAGGGGGGTCGGGGAGTGTGGAAGAGAAGGGTGAGGAGAGTAAGGGCGAGGCGCAGGTTGTGTGATACCCTGACGATGAGGTTGGGTGTGTGGAGCACCTGAAAGATCCAGCTGGAAAATCACCTTCTTGATGACCTAACCAACCACCTGATGACCGGCCTGAGCAGTCACCTGTGCGGGTCCAGTTCACAGAGGCATGAAAGCGGCTGTGTTACTGCTGGTGCCAAATCATGCGGTGCTGCACTGACGCTCGTCTGGTGGCATGGGCACATGCGGTGAGACACACACATGCATGCACATATGCACCACACACACGCAAGCATGCACAGGCATAGAGAAGGGAGCAGCGTTCAATGGTAGCATGCACGTGACGTGATCACAGCAGGCCCCAGGTGGAAAGAGCACAGGCGTGCGCATCCATGAAGTGTTAAGGAAAGGGTGTGCCCGGTGCCTGTCATGGCGAGCATGCAAGCATCTTCTGAGCCCCGCCTGTCACGACGTGCATGCAAGCATCTTCTGAGCCCCGCCTGTCACGACGTGCATGCAAGCATCTTCTGAGCCCCGCCTGTCACGACGTGCATGCAAGCATCTTCTAGCCCCGCCTGTCACGACGTGCATGCAAGCATCTTCTGAGCCTCGCCTGTCACCCGGCCTGACCCGCACATGGGGTTGCCTTGCTACGTCCTGCCATGAGAGCATGGGAGCGCGTGGCTGAAGCGGGAGCAGAGCGGGTGTGCAGGCATGCTTTTGGAACGGCAGGAGAGAGGCGGGCACAGATCTGCCCTGCCCAGCACAGCACCGCACAGCACACACACACTTACAGAAGCTTCACTGCTTTCTCCACTAGCGACGTTTATGAGCGTGAGTCCCATGAATGCCGCGGCCCTCACCCCACTGTACCCCGCGCCGCCCACACTGTGGCGCGCGCCCGAGTCGATGCCCCACAGCGCCACGTGGGGGGGCAGCGCCAGGCAGCCCTGCACGCTGGCGGGGCGGCACAGCAGCGCCAGCAGCGAGGCAGGGCGCGCGAGCGTGACGGCCATCTGATCCATGATGCCGCAGGGGGCGCCCACCACCCTGTTCTCCACCTGGTGGAGGGGCAGGGGGCAGGGGCCAGGGGACAGGGGGCAGGGGGTAGGGGGCAGGGGGCAGGGGGCAGGGGGCAGGGGGTAGGGGGCAGGGGGTAGGGGGCAGGGGGCAGGGGGCAGGGGGCAGGGGGTAGGGGGCAGGGGGCAGGGGGCAGGGGGCAGGGGGTAGGGGGCAGGGGGCAGGGGGCAGGGGGCAGGGGGCAGGGGGCAGGGGGCAGGGGGCAGGGGGCAGGGGGCAGGGGGTAGGGGGCAGGGGGCAGGGGGCAGGGGGTAGGGGGTAGGGGGTAGGGGGTAGGGGGCAGGGGGTAGGGGGTAGGGGGTAGGGGGTAGGGGGCAGGGGGTAGGGGGTAGGGGGTAGGGGGTAGGGAGTAGGGGGCAGGGGGCAGTGGGCAGGGGGTAGGGGGTAGGTGGGTGGATGTGCAGGAGCGGGAGTGGAGAAAGAGATGTGTGGGCTGTGCGAGTTGCTGGTGCGCTTGGACAGGCTGTGTTATGTGACCTTGTGCTGTGACCTTGTGCTGTGACCTTGTGCTGTGAGCGAGCGTGAGTGTGGAAGGGGAAAGGGGCAAGCGCAGTGCAGAAGGAGAGTGAGCACAGGGGCATGGCAGGGGGGCGTACCATCTGGCACATGCGGGCGAGGTGCCAGGGGGGCACGTGCATGCCCAGGGCGTGCATGAGAGCCATCATGCTCGCCACCTCCACCGCTGCTGACGATGCCACGCCCACGCCCTCCGGCACCTCTGATGCCACCACCACCGCCACCCCCTGCACTCTGCCCAACGCCCCGCTCTCGCCCTGCGCGCCCCCCCCCCCCCATCCACGCCTGGCGGAACTCCGCCTCTCTCTCCCTCGCCAGCACCACCAGCGCCCCCGCCACATATGCCGCCCACCGTGTCCCCCCTGCCCCTCCCCCTCCCCCCTGCTCTGCTGCACCACTCTCCTCGGCCCCCTCCCTGCTACCCCCGCCCCCCCCCTCCGCCTTCATCTCCCGACTCTCTCGCCTGTGCTGCCCCTTCCTCCCCCTCATCGCCCGCCACTGGCCCCCCTGCCAGCAGCGCATGGGCGGAGGCATAGTCGAGGGCGCAGGGGGCGGAGTGGGGGGGCGAGGCGTAGAGGGCGGGGAGCAGGCGGGCGAGGGGCAGGGAGACAGAGGGCACACGGTGGTTGGCGGCGGCGGAAAGGGAGACGATGCGCAGTGAGGGGGGAGGCCCAGGGGACGTGGGAGGGGCGGAGGGGGCGGAAGGGGGTGCGCGGATGACCTGAATGGCCACGTGGCACGCCTCTGCTGTTGGCATCTGGTGGGGGGTTGGAAGGGAAGGAAGGGGAGGGGAGGGGATTGAGAGATACATCATACCAGAAAGCCACCTGAGGTGCAACTGAGGCACACCTGAGGCCCACCAGGGGCGCACCTGAAGCACACCTGAGGCCCGCCTGAGGCGCACCTGAGGTCCACCTGAGGCCCACCTGAGGTCCACCTGAGGCGCACCTGAGGCGCACCTGAAGCACGAGCGAGCCGGAGTAGTCAGCAATGCCGCCCATCACATCCAGGCGCCCCGGCGCTCTGGTTACCACCAGCGGCTTCGACCAATCAAAGAGCTCCGCCGCCAGCGCCAGCTCGTGACGCTCGCTGTCGTTGCACGTGCCGCCGCCGGGCGGCGTGACTGCGCGGCGGGGGGCCGCGGAGGAAGGGGAATGGGGGAGGGAAGGGGAGGGAATGAGGGGGAATGGGGGAGGGGCGGGGAGAGCCCAAGGGAAGGGAAGGCACGGCTGAAGGGGCAGGCGCAGCGAGGGGAACGGGGGCGGCGGCGGGAAGGAGAGCACGAGGGAAGGGGAGGGGAGTGTGGAGGGCGAGCGAAAGCGGCGCCCGGATGCCAATGGATCTTTTCCTCCCGCCACGCCGCAGCGCGCCACGCACCGCCGGCTCGGAGCGCGTCGATCAGCGCGAGGAAGCGCTTCGTGTCGGGCAGGCCGCGGTCATCGCCCTTCACGCGCATGGCGCCGCGGGGCATCTATGCGATGCGAGAGGGGAACACAGGAATCGCGCTGTCGTACGCGCCTAACCCGCACTTGGTGCAACGTGGCGGTTAGCGGCTAGCGGATGCGAGTTGGCGGATGATGGTGCGGGGCAAGCAAATGGGTGACCGTGGTCGCGATGCCCCTCGCCCCTCGCGCGCACTCGCGTTGAAAGTGTCCTATCACTTGGCATTCCGACATTTTCAGCGACAGGTGAGTTGTGCACATACCGTACAGCAGCGTCTTCGTTAGGGTGTATTGTCCGAAACATGCTGACTTCTATTTTTGTACAACCCTGCACCTCCACCCAATGTAATATGGAAGTTCGTTGCTTGTGCTAGTACTGAATGGAAAGCATAGAGCTGAAAGATTTAGCAATGGAGGCTGACATTACATGCGAGCATGAGTGGCACTCAACAGCGTGACATGGCCAAATGGCTTCTCAGAGCAGGGCCCACGATATCAGGGCAAAACATCCTGATTACCCTGATTTCAGGATGGTGTTTTAAATTTGCCCTGGAATTTCAGAATGACGGTGAACTTTACCCTGTGACGTCAGGATGATTCATGTGTTTTGCCCTGAAATTTCAGAATGGCAGTGAAATTTTGCCCTGAAGCGTTAGGGTGAATGTAGAGGGATGCCCTGACTCGTGGGAAGGGGAAGAGGGGTGGAGGAGGGGAGAGGGGGATAGGGGAGGAGGGAGGCTGGGGGGTGGGTGTGCTGGTTTTGTCTCCCCCCTCCCCCCCCCCCCCCCCAAGGTTTTTGCTCAGCCCATTGTAGTGAAACCACTGAACAACCTGCTCCTCTCATGGCTTCCCTTCCCCTCTACTCTAGTGTCTTGTATTCTTTTGCCCTGAAACATCCAGATGAATTTCTGCTGGTGCCCTGAAACTTCAGGATTGCGAGGAATTTTTGCCCTGAAAAATCAGGGCATTTTGGAGAGTTTTCAAAAGTTTCCCTGAGGGCTCAGGGTGCCCTAAATCATAGCACAGGCCCTGTCTCAGAGTGTCATAGTTTGGTGCAGAGGTGTGGACGATGAGAGATGGTGTTAGACTGTCAAGAGAGGTAGTTAGAACTTAGAGACATGGAAACCCTAGGAGCTAGGAAAGAGAGGTGTTTGGCCAAATAAGGGGTTTGCAATATGAGAGAGTTACAAGATATAGGAAAGGTGGACAAAAAGGGATATACCACCAAGGCCCAACACTACTAGCTAAAACATGCAATTTTATAAGAATACACCATATTCTAATACAGACATTATAGTCTTAGTAATGTGTGTCATATGGGGTACAATAGTTAGGGTTAGGTTCATGTACCCCAACCAACCTTAGTCAACACATTCTTCTATTCTTGACATGGTATCACCTAGGTTATGATCCTGTGGGATCCCGTTCCTCTCGTTCACGTCCGTAGCGCCCGAGCCTATCCCGTACCCTAGTGCACGTTATGCCCCAAGCGCCTATCGCGCTCGTCTCTCTCGTGCCCTAGCGCCTGTTGCGCCTGCCATCGCGTCAACCCTGCTGTCCCGTCCCGTCCCGTCCCCCCCTGCTGTCCCGTCCCGTCCCGTCCCCCCCTGCTGTCCCGTCCCGTCCCGTCCTCTCCGTTGTCCCGTCCCGTCCCATCTCCCCTGCTCTCCCGTCCCGTCCCGTCCCGTACCCCCTGCTGTCCCGTCCCGTCATGTCGTCCCTGCTGTCCCATCGCGTTGTCCCTTGCTGTCTGGTCGCGTCGCGCCTATCCATGCTGTCCCGTCACGTCGCGCCTGTCCCTGTTGTCCCGTCGCGTCGCGCTGTCGTGACACGTCGCACCGTCTGTCCCATCCCGTCCAATCCGCGTCGCGCTTCCCATCCCGTCCCGTCTCCGTACGCCCTGCCCGTCCGCCGCGCCCCGTGCGCCCTGCCCGCCCGTCGCGTCCCCTCTGCGCCCTGCCCGTACGTCACGCCCCGTACGCCCAGCCCGTCCGTCGCACCCCTGCTGCGCCTTGCCCATCCGTCGCGCCCCCGCTGTGCCCTGCTCGTCAGTCACGCCCCGTGCGCCCAGCCCGTCCGTGGCGCCCCGTGCGCCCTACCCGTCCGTCGCGCCCCGTGCGCTCTGCCCGTCCACGCCTGCCGCGCCCATCCCAGCCGGTCGCGTCCTGTCCGTTGCGCCGCACTGACTGTGACGCTCTATGCAGGCCCTCCAGGCGTTTAGGGTTTCGACAACAGCAGTTCCCACCCCTTTGCTACCGCTACGGCGACCCCTAGTGTTCTGCGCTATGACGCCGAGGGTAGGGCACTTGAGTTCTCCATCCGGCTCCTGCGTGCGCGCCGCCTTTTAGAGAGTCAGGCTCAGGCAGATGAGTCTCTGTGGGCGCACGCTTCTGGCGACCTTCCTAAGCCCGATGATCCTGCACCCTTAGGCACTAACCCTAGCGATGCAGACAGAGATAAATACACCCGCTAGCGTGCTGACCTCACAGTGTGGAAGTCGCATGACGGTGCGGCTTGCATCGCCCTTAGCAGCCTCCTCCATGAGTCTGAGGAGGCACACTTCACTCAGGTTCGCACGGCTACTGGGTTCCTGACTGCGATCAAGGCACGCTACACTACTCCCACCACTGTCTCTCTTGGTCGTCTGTTCCTCCCGTTCTTGTTTCCTGACCTCGCCTCGTTTGAGCGCTCTGCTGACTTAATCACTCACTTGCGCTCGCTCGATTCCAGCTACCGTGCTGCCTTCACTAACGAACAGCTTGCACTGATCCCTCCCCCTATGGCGATTACTATCGATTTCATTGCCACTAGCCTCCTTGACCGCCTTGCCTCGGTTCGTGACGCGCTTATTCTGAAGCACCCTAGCGAGCTCACTATCGAGGTCCTTGAGTCTGCCCTCAAGGACGTCAAGAGCAACCTCTGCTCGGTTGCTGTGCCCCCTCCACTACTTCACGGGTGCACTATCCCTCAGCTGCCCAACTTTAATGCCTCCCTTGCCACTGCCGCTACTGACGTGACCACAGCTACTGTTACGACTTCTTCACGGTCTAGGGGTAGGAGCGGCAGAAGGGGCGGTCAGGGTGCGGGCAGAAGCGGCGAAGGTGGCGGAGGTGGTGTAGCGAGTGGTGGTGGCGGGAGTACAGAGGTTGGAGGAGCGTCTTGTGCAGCGGCTTGTGAATCCCCTACTACAGTTGTTGGAGGCGACGCTCGGGTTCGTCAGGCACCAACTGGTCCACCAGCTGCACGTGCTGGAGCGGCGACTTGGCACCTGACTCAGCAACAGCAACAGCAGCAGCCACTCCTCTGGCAACAGCCACAGTAGCAGCAGAGGCAGCAGCAGGCTCCGGGGAAGGGGTCTGGACCGTGTCAGCTGTGGCGTGGTGCCGTCCACCCTCCCTGCACCTATCTCGTTCAGACAGGTACTCGCTGAGGCCTCCCTTGTGGCCACACCCACCCACCGGGTCAGTGCTTTGCTCAGCTCACTGACACACTTCGTGGCCTACGGGGTTGACAGCCCTGCCCCTGACTGGCTTCCCCTTCTTCAGCGATACGGCCCCGCTCTGTGGGGCATGTCGGCTTCTCAGTTGCTTGATCTCTTAGGAACTCCTCATGCTATGTATGTTGTTGTTGACTCTAGTGCTTCTGACTCTGTTAACTCGAGTGTTGTTAGCTTAGATGCTTGTGTTGCTGAGGTGCCTATTGCTAGTGTAGGTACTTGTGTAGACACTAGTCTAGTAGCTGCTTTGGAGGACACTTCGCTGTCGTTCACTCTGGACTCTGGAGCCTCGCACTGTTTCTTCCACGACCACACGATGCTTACTCCGCTTCCTTCGCCGGTCTCTATAGCACTCGCTGATCCCACTTCGGGACTAGTCACTGCTCGCTACACTACTACACTTCCCTCGGGTTTCCTGACAAGCTTCCACGTCCCCTCGTTCTCCAGGAACTTGGTGGGTGTGAGGCCGCTCGTGAGTAGTCACGTGGGTGTGTGGATTGAGCCTTCTGGCGAGACTGCGATTTGTGTCGACGGGGACACGTAAGCGCCTCTGGCCACCTTTACCGCTGAGCCAGGCTCTGGTCTCTACACACTTCACACAGGCCCTCGGCAGCAGCAGCAGCAGCAGCAGCAGCCACGGCAGCAGCAGTAGCAGCAGCTGCTGCCCCTAACCACTGTCACTGCCCCTCGTCAGGCTCCCCCGTCTCACCAGGTCGCCGCTTCTCACCAGGTAGCTCTGTCTGGCCAGGTTCCCGTGTCAGGACTAGTTGCTACGTCTTGCTCCTGCCGGTCACTTGCCCACCCCACAGTTCTCTAGCACCACTGGATGGGACACGCGTCCATTCCTCACCTGCGCGCTAGTCAACGTCTTGTCTTAGGCCTCCTGCGAGTCTTGCCGTCGATGTCGCCTTCGCTTGCACCACCTTGCGGTCCCTGCGTCGAGGGTCGGCTGTGCGCCACCCCTCACTCCTCATCGCTTCGTCTAGCCACCGAGCCCTTCGAGACTCTCCACTTGGACGTCTGGGGCCCCGCCCCTCGCCCTGGCCCTGAGCGAGAGAGTTTCTTTCTGGTGGTCATTGACGACTACTCTCCCTACACCACAGTGTTACCCCTGGCGAAGAAGTCTGAGGTGACTTCTACGCTGATCCGGTGGTTACTTACCGCGGCGGACACTCGTGATCGTCGTGTCAGCTGTCTTCACTCCGACCGTGGGGGTGAGTTTTGCTCCGGCACTCTCACTGGATTCTGTTGCGAGCAGGGCATCCGTAGTCCTTGACGCTTCCAGAGTCCCCACAACAAAATGGGATTGCTGAGCACCGCATAGGCTTGGTCATGGAGATTGCACGCACCTCCATGATCCACGACCGTGCGCCCCATTTTCTGTGGTCCTACGCGGCTCACCAGTTGAACCTCTGGCTACGTGTCTCTTAGTGAGAGGCTTCACCGACCTGACTTTGGACCTGGTCCCGTGGTGCTGCATCGCGGTTTCGTGTCTGGGGCTGCTTGGCGCTTTTTCGCGACACCTCCGCAGAT